TGTATTTAAAGTAAAATAAAATTTGTCTAAGGTGTCGTTAAGATCAGTGCATGCCAGAACATCTGACCAGTCATATGTATCGATAAGGCTATTAAATAATTTGGTTAATAGTAAAGTAGAATTATGCAATGTACCATTAAGTCCTTGTGATATGCACCACAAGCCGTTGCAACGCGTTGGTAATTAATATTGAGTTTTATAGTTTCTTGCCTTCTGCTTCCCCCATTCCATATTATCATCTAAATAATACTAACTTGTCACTTATTACAATAGTTCAGGGATCGGCACCCCAATACATTGATATGATTTTACCGCATTAGTGTTAGTAACGAATAGCAGAAAGTAGGCTGTGTGCATGACGTTTCACACATGTATACTGTGTGTGTGTGGCAGAGCTCGGGCAGAGAAATTTCCTATGCCCCCGAGATAGGGCCGTGCCGACCTCTGCTATAGTTTCACTATTACACTTATCACTATAGTTTCTTGCCTTCTGCTTCCCCCATTCCATATTATCATCTAAATGATACTAACTTGTCACTTATTAATGCCTCTTTTTCAGCTTTTGATTGGGTTTCCTTTTTTTCGGATGGCTCAATCGATGATTGTTATACTTAGTTCTTGGTTGCCCTTTTTAATATTATTGATACTTATGCCCCTGTGAGGGTACGAAGATCCTATAGGCTTCCCTGGTATAAAAAGGTTTAAAAACTTAAAGAATAGAAGGGATAAGCAATACAAACAATTTATAATGACAGGTGAGACTCGAGCAGGAGAGCTGTACTGGCAATTTAAGCGGGAATTTGATTTCCTTAATAAGTTCCTCTACAATCAGTATATATCCGATGTCGAAGCTAGCCTTCTATCCAATCCTAAAGCTTTTTGGCGGTATGTTAACAGCAAAAAGTCAAAATCGGACATACCTTCATCCATATGTTATGGTAATTTAGCAGCCGACTCGGATCAGGGCGTTTCTGATCTTTTTGCAAAATACTTTGCCTCTAACTTGGAGCCGAAGGTTCCTTGGAGTGATAATGAAACTCTTCTTAGCATTGAGCCTTTTCTTAATGTGAGTAACATGGACGTTTTGGACGGTGACCTAGTTGAAGCCACTGGACATTTGACCGAGTGGCTCACACCTAACGTGGACGGTATCTCCCCATACTTTCTTAAGAGGAGTATCGCTTCTCTTTCTACTCCCCCTTCAACTACTGTTCTCCTTTTCGCTCTCATCTGGTAGATTCCCCCACCGGTGGAAGATGACTTCTATAACGCCTGTTCACAAAGGTGGCAGTAGGTGTGATGTTACCAACTATCGACCTATAGCCAAAATTTGCAACGTCGCTAAGATACTGGAGCGGATAGTAACTAAAAAATTGACTTTTCTGGCTCGCAATTTCATATCCCCCAACCAGCATGGTTTTTTGCCTGGGAGGTCTACTACCACTAATTTAGCTGTCTTCTCTAAGCACTGCTTTGAAGCTTTTGGAAACCGATTTCAGGTTGACGCCATTTACACGGACTTCTCCAAAGCCTTCGACAAAGTGTGTCATGCTGCCCTTCTGGCCAAATTATATAAATTTGGTATTCATTCCTTCCTATTAAGTTGGTTCGAGTCTTATCTGGCTGACCGACCTTGCCACGTTATTGTTGGAGACGCTATCTCGAGTCCATTTGAGATCTAGAAGAGGGTCAACCACCGGAAGGCGTAGTGATGTAGCCTGAAGAGATCATCACACCACCTCTTCGCACACACTGGGTACTGGATGCACCTCGGTCTTTTCGAAATACTTGGTACAAGTTACGCTCGAAGAACTCAAAGTAGCTAAAGTTGTTATTGAGCCACGTTTTCAAAGGGATGAAAACACCAAAACCACCGGCAGAAGAATTCAGTAATACCATCCGGAACTTGGTCCTCATTTCCAATATATTTTGGAATATAACTTTTAAGCTTTTCTTGGAGTCCGAGGACAAATTATTACTGTCTAAACTGGGAAATGGACGGCTAGGCGGTAATGATGAAAATACACTCTTGGTACTCGAGCATGTGGAGGCATATCCAATACGCCTAGCTTGCAAGATAGCCGTCGAGGACACATAAATTCTTCCATTATAGTAGATTGGATTTCAAAAGCCAAAGCTTGAAGAGAGCGATTGGAGTGGGCAAAGTAAAATGCAGAAACAGAGATAAGAACCTCTATTGAACAATAAAAAAAGTAGAAGAAGCAGAACCAAACTATTCTTGGATTTAAATCAGTGGACGGCCCCCCAATACTTTGATATGATTTAAACGCATTAGTATTAGTAACGGATAGAAGAAAGTAGGCTGTGAGCATGACGTTTCACACATTTATACACAGAAATTTCCTAAGCCCTCGGGATAGGGCCGTGCCGACCACTGATTTAAAGTAAAAAAATGAAATTTGGTAGGTTAGATCAACTGACCAAAAATAGAATATGTACTAAGTTTCAGCTTTCTATCTTCAAAAACACCAAAGTTACCATATACCATTTCCGATCAATCAGTTATATGGCAGCTATAGGATATAGTGGCACGATCTGGTAAATTTTTTTAACATATGTTTACAATATTTTTCTAGATATTTGGTGAAAGTTTCATAGCGATAGCACATCTATAAATATTTATGGCCGCGGTTCCATACAAGCCAGACCACTGTGCGTTGGTAATTAATATTGAGTTTTATAGTTTCTTGCCTTCTGCTTCCCCCATTCCATATTATCATCTAAATGATACTAACTTGTCACTTATTAATGCCTCTTTTTCAGCTTTTGATTGGGTTTCCCTTTTTTCGGATGGCTCAATCGATGATTGTTATACTTAGTTCTTGGTTGCCCTTTTTAATATTATTGATACTTATGCCCCTGTGAGGGTACGAAGATCCTATAGGCTTCCCTGGTATAAAAAGGTTTAAAAACTTAAAGAATAGAAGGGATAAGCAATACAAACAATTTATAATGACAGGTGAGACTCGAGCAGGAGAGCTGTACTGGCAATTTAAGCGGGAATTTGCTTTCCTTAATAAGTTCCTCTAGAATCAGTATATATCCGATGTCGAAGCTAGCCTTCTATCCAATCCTAAAGCGTTTTGGCGGTATGTTAACAGCAAAAAGTCAAAATCGGACATACCTTCATCCATATGTTATGGTAATTTAGCAGCCGACTCGGATCAGGGCGTTTCTGATCTTTTTGCAAAATACTTTGCCTCTAACTTGGAGCCGAAGGTTCCTTGGAGTGATAATGAAACTCTTCTTAGCATTGAGCCTTTTCTTAATGTGAGTAACATGGACGTTTTGGACGGTGACCTAGTTGAAGCCACTGGACATTTGACCGAGTGGCTCACACCTAACGTGGACGGTATCTCCCCATACTTTCTTAAGAGGAGTATCGCTTCTCTTTCTACTCCCCTTCAACTGCTGTTCTCCTTTTCGCTCTCATCTGGTAGATTCCCCCACCGGTGGAAGATGACTTCTATAACGCCTGTTCACAAAGGTGGCAGTAGGTGTGATGTTACCAACTATCGACCTATAGCCAAAATTTGCAACGTCACTAAGATACTGGAGCGGATAGTAACTAAAAAATTGACTTTTCTGGCTCGCAATTTCATATCCCCCAACCAGCATGGTTTTTTGCCTGGGAGGTCCACTACCACTAATTTAGCTGTCTTCTCTAAGCACTGCTTTGAAGCTTTTGGAAACCGATTTCAGGTTGACGCCATTTACACGGACTTCTCCAAAGCCTTCGACAAAGTGTGTCATGCTGCCCTTCTAATTAAACCAAAAATTATATAAATTTGGTATTCATTCCTTCCTATTAAGTTGGTTCGAGTCTTATCTGGCTGACCGACCTTGCCACGTTATTGTTGGAGACGCTATCTCGAGTCCATTTGAGATCTAGAAGAGGGTCAACCACCGGAAGGCGTAGTGATGTAGCCTGAAGAGATCATCACACCACCTCTTCGCACACACTGGGTACTGGATGCACCTCGGTCTTTTCGAAATACTTGGTACAAGTTACGCTCGAAGAACTCAAAGTAGCTAAAGTTGTTATTGAGCCACGTTTTCAAAGGGATGAAAACACCAAAACCACAGGCAGAAGAATTCAGTAATACCATCCGGAACTTGGTCCTCATTTCCAATATATTTTGGAATATAACTTTTAAGCTTTTCTTGGAGTCCGAGGACAAATTATTACTGTCTAAACTGGGAAATGGACGGCTAGGCGGTAATGATGAAAATACACTCTTGGTACTGGAGCATGTGGAGGCATATCCAATACGCCTAGCTTGCAAGATAGCCGTCGAGGACACATAAATTCTTCCATTATAGTAGATTGGATTTCAAAAGCCAAAGCTTGAAGAGAGCGATTGGAGTGGGCAAAGTAAAATGCAGAAACAGAGATAAGAACCTCTATTGAACAATAAAAAAAGTAGAAGAAGCAGAACCAAACTATTCTTGGATTTAAATTAGTGGACGGCCCCCCAATACTTTGATATGATTTAAACGCATTAGTATTAGTAACGGATAGAAGAAAGTAGGCTGTGAGCATGACGTTTCACACATTTATACTGTGTGTGGCAGAGCTCGGGCAGAGAAATTTCCTAAGCCCTCGGGATAGGGCCGTGCCGACCACTGATTTAAAGTAAAAAAATTATTCATTCGCCTTCAAATATATCACATCACTCCCGATGCAATACTGTTGAAATTGAGTGAAGTTTCTTAAATTACGAAGATGTTGCCAGATGAAGTAGGAAAAACAAAAACCCCGTTCTGGTTATTACGATTCAGCCAAACTTGGTGAACTAAAATAAAACAATTTAAAAACATCTTCATTTTTATCTCAATAGATTTGACATAGCTTTTTTACCTGCATATTTTGAATAAGTTGTACATATTTATGCATAAAATGTTTAATTAATTTAAAAGTAGACAAGTTGGTTTATTTAAGGAAATATTTTTTAACAAATTCTTAAATTTTTAATACATTAAATATATTATAGTCCTCCTTAGTTGTCACTTAATTAATATATTTTAGGAAAAACTATGCTTTACGACATATTCGATGAGCTAGAACTACAAACAATATTATCGATATTATAGTAGTGCACAACTCGTGATGATGGCTGATTTGAAAGAGTTTCAGATATTTTGCTTACAATCAACTTTGATAGTTTAAGGACAGCAAGGTGTGACATGAATTGTAGAATCATTGCGCCAAATCCTTTATAGAGCCCACAAAAACCTTCTGAAAATATGGTCGATTGGTAACAATCGATGGCTCCTTGATAGTTTGTTAGTATTGGAACAACTGCATAACCATTGTCTAAATTGTCAATAATAGTTCGTGTACCTTGTAGTTGAAGACGATGTAACACGGTTTCAAAAGGATAGAAAATGACCTCGGTGGTTATTGTTGTTATAAGATTGGTATATATCTCAGCATTTTGATTTTCTAGCTCATCATCGCAAATTTTTTCAGCACGTTTTTTTCTTAAAGCTGTTAACCGCCGTCTTATAATCCTAGAAGACAGCCCACGAATTACTAAACTGAATAAATACTTTATAATTCCCAATGAAACACATGGCCCTATTAACGCCCAAGCAGGCAGCATTCTGCCCTTCTGTGGTGAACTCCAATACAGAAATCGAAGACTTCCTTCTCGAAATATATCAAAAAGTCCTGGTTTTTCACTTGCTATATCACTTTGGACCGTCTCCACTAAAGATGCAGAATGGAATGTTACAACCACTCCAATGCTGAAACTGAAAAAAATTTTATCAGTAACACATATGAATAAATTGTATTTGACTAAAAAGGTGATATAAACTATTCCAGCAACTTCCGATTTTTATCTGACATATGGGCACTTCCAGAAACAGGCTAACCAGGAAAGAAAAATTGAATGTAAAACAAACACATGTTTTTTTTATTGCATATTCTTTAAGTATATTCTATTGGGAATACTCTCACAAAAATTCATAACGATTAGAACCGAAGCTGTAGCTATTTATAGCGCACTATCTGCATATAAAACTTGAACAAACTTAAAACTTTAAACGCGATTATCTCAGAATCTTTTTTTTGGGAAATTACCTTTGCGGTGGACACGATTACTAAAAAACTACTAATCCGATCAACACCAAGTTTTGACCACTTATTTATTATGATATTAGCTAGTCCGTGAACGAGGGATTTTTAATTTTTTTTAAAACTCCTTTTTTAAAGCACTAAAAACGAAAATCTTATACCTTGAAAAAGTACATTTTTTGTTAAATACGTCGCCATTTTTTTTAATCAAGTTTTTAAGGGGACTTCCCCCATTCTCGATTTTAAATTTTGACGATTTTCAATGGGCTGGCAAATGAACATAAATTATTTTTTAGGGTTGTAACTGTGCTTATATTAAGACACAAAAAGGAAGAAAATCATTTCACAGAATTTTTTTTTGTTCTGTTTTTGTTGTTGTTTTTTGTGATCAAAGAAAAGCCCTTCTTTTCGGGGGCGCATGTGATTTCCGCTCACTGGAACATCTGAATCCAAAAATTCCAACGGGATTAGAAAGAGTACATGTTTGGCTTTCGTATGAACTAGGATTATTAACTTCGCTCAAAAATTAACAAAATGGCGGACCTTTGAAATTTTTTTTTGAAAATTTTCATTTTTTTCAGCCACAAATCGAGTTGAAAAGTAAAGAAGATCTTCACCGATTTGATTTATCCTAGTTCACGCGAGAGCTATATATGTATAGAATAACGTATTACAATTTGGAACCGATTGGATTAATAGTTTTTGAGTAAACTCATGCGCCAGTCGTAAAAACACTGTTTCGAGAAAAACGCGTTTAAAGTTTTGAGACGGCTCTCGCCGTCGCCTGACGCTTCCACCATAAATCGGCTTTATCTTCAAGAGTTTTTGAAATTTTGACTTGAAATTTTCAGGGAACATTCTTGAATAGTTACAAGTTCGAATTAAATTTAAAAAAAAAATCGATTTTTTAAAACCGAGAATGGAGAGGGTCCCCTTAAGAATCCCTCGTTCACGGACTAGACAATACAATATACTAACTAAACTTTTTTGAATTTTGGATTTCGGATGAACCGTTTTCGAGAAATCATGTCCACCGCAAGACACCATCGAAAAAAGACGATTCGGGAATTCGGCTATAACATTTTTGTTATGTAATATTTTTTTATGAAAAAATTTAATTAAGTACCCAGAAACATGTACTAAACAAGGTCGGTAAAACATTTTTCATAAATATTTTCTATGGTGTCAAAAAAAATCGATAAAAATCCATATTTTTGCGCGGTACATCTGTATATAACCCCTTAAATAGCAGCTATAGGATATAGTTGGCCGATCCAGGCCCTTCCGACTTATATACTGCGTGCAAAGGAAAGTGGGGTGTGTGCCAATTTCCAAATCGATAACTTTAAAACTGAGAGACAAGTTTGCGTAGAAACAGACAGACGGACAGAAGGACATACTGACGGACATGCTCATATCAACTCAGGCGGTGATCCTGATCAAGATTCTATATACTATATAGGGTCGGAGATGTCTCCTTCACTGCGTTGCACACTTTTTGACAAAATTATAACACCCTCTGCAAGGGTATAGTATATATAAGATCATGAATTTTAGATAGGGCTCACACTAAAACTATCATCTAAAATTACAATTTCATGACTTTGGTGAACATTGCTAGGTGACTCAGCGTCAGGAGACCAGACGATAGAGCTTAAGTTGAAATCGCCAGCTACCATCAAAGAAGTAGGGTCCAACGTTCCAGCACAGACACTCCATATGCGCATGATAGATACTTAATGCGCTGTTTAGAGGGATGTTCGACCCAATGATGACGAACGGGCCATGGATGTCCTATATTGAAACGGTAAGCTGATCTAGAAGAGGGTCAACCACCGGAAGGCGTAGTGATGTAGCCTGAAGAGATCGACTGATAGCGATCATAACCACCTCCTCGCACACACTGGGTACTGGATGCACCTCGGTCTTTTCGAAATACTTGGTACAAGTTACGCTCGAAGAACTCAAAGTAGCTAAAGTTGTTATTGAGCCACGTTTTCAAAGGGATGAAAACACCAAAACCACAGGCAGAAGAATTCAGTAATACCATCCGGAACTTGGTCCTCATTTCCAATATATTTTGGAATATAACTTTTAAGCTTTTCTTGGAGTCCGAGGACAAATTATTACTGTCTAAACTGGGAAATGGACGGCTAGGCGGTAATGATGAAAATACACTCTTGGTACTCGAGCATGTGGAGGCATATCCAATACGCCTAGCTTGCAAGATAGCCGTCGAGGACACATAAATTCTTCCATTATAGTAGATTGGATTTCAAAAGCCAAAGCTTGAAGAGAGCGATTGGAGTGGGCAAAGTAAAATGCAGAAACAGAGATAAGAACCTCTATTGAACAATAAAAAAGTAGAAGAAGCAGAACCAAACTATTCTTGGATCTAAATTAGTGGACGGCTCCCCAATACTTTGATATGATTTAAACGCATTAGTATTAGTAACGGATAGAAGAAAGTAGGCTGTGAGCATGACGTTTCACACATTTATACTGTGTGTGGCAGAGCTCGGGCAGAGAAATTTCCTAAGCCCTCGGGATAGGGCCGTGCCGACCACTGATTTAAAGTACAAAAATTATTCATTCGCCTTCAAATATATCACATCACTCCCGATGCAATACTGTTGAAATTGAGTGAAGTTTCTTAAATTACGAAGATGTTGCCAGATGAAGTAGGAAAAACAAAAACCCCGTTCTGGTTATTACGATTCAGCCAAACTTGGTGAACTAAAATAAAACAATTTAAAAACATCTTCATTTTTATCTCAATAGATTTGACATAGCTTTTTTACCTGCATATTTTGAATAAGTTTTACATATTTATGCATAAAATGTTTAATTAATTTAAAAGTAGACAAGTTGGTTTATTTAAGGAAATATTTTTTTAACAAATTCTTAAATTTTTAATACATTAAATATATTATAGTCCTCCTTAGTTGTCACTTAATTAATATATTTTAGGAAAAACTATGCTTTACGACATATTCGATGAGCTAGAACTACAAACAATATTATCGATATTATAGTAGTGCACAACTCGTGATGATGGCTGATTTGAAAGAGTTTCAGATATTTTGCTTACAATCAACTTTGATAGTTTAAGGACAGCAAGGTGTGACATGAATTGTAGAATCATTGCGCCAAATCCTTTATAGAGCCCACAAAAACCTTCTGAAAATATGGTCGATTGGTAACAATCGATGGCTCCTTGATAGTTTGTTAGTATTGGAACAACTGCATAACCATTGTCTAAATTGTCAATAATAGTTCGTGTACCTTGTAGTTGAAGACGATGTAACACGGTTTCAAAAGGATAGAAAATGACCTCGGTGGTTATTGTTGTTATAAGATTGGTATATATCTCAGCATTTTGATTTTCTAGCTCATCATCGCAAATTTTTTCAGCACGTTTTTTTCTTAAAGCTGTTAACCGCCGTCTTATAATCCTAGAAGACAGCCCACGAATTACTAAACTGAATAAATACTTTATAATTCCCAATGAAACACATGGCCCTATTAACGCCCAAGCAGGCAGCATTCTGCCCTTCTGTGGTGAACTCCAATACAGAAATCGAAGACTTCCTTCTCGAAATATATCAAAAAGTCCTGGTTTTTCACTTGCTATATCACTTTGGACCGTCTCCACTAAAGATGCAGAATGGAATGGTACAACCACTCCAATGCTGAAACTGAAAAAAAAATTTTATCAGTAACACATATGAATAAATTGTATTTGACTAAAAAGGTGATATAAACTATTCCAGCAACTTCCGATTTTTATCTGACATATGGGCACTTCCAGAAACAGGCTAACCAGGAAAGAAAAATTGAATGTAAAACAAACACATGTTTTTTTTATTGCATATTCTTTAAGTATATTCTATTGGGAATACTCTCACAAAAATTCATAACGATTAGAACCGAAGCTGTAGCTATTTATAGCGCACTATCTGCATATAAAACTTGAACAAACTTAAAACTTTAAACGCGATTATCTCAGAATCTTTTTTTTGGGAAATTACCTTTGCGGTGGACACGATTACTAAAAAGCTACTAATCCGATCAACACCAAGTTTTGACCACTTATTTATTATGATATTAGCTAGTCCGTGAACGAGGGATTTTTAATTTTTTTTAAAACTCCTTTTTTAAAGCACTAAAAACGAAAATCTTATACCTTGAAAAAGTACATTTTTTGTTAAATACGTCGCCATTTTTTTTAATCAAGTTTTTAAGGGGACTTCCCCCATTCTCGATTTTAAATTTTGACGATTTTCAATGGGCTGGCAAATGAACATAAATTATTTTTTAGGGTTGTAACTGTGCTTACATATATTAAGACACAAAAAGGAAGAAAATCATTTCACAGAATTTTTTTTTGTTCTGTTTTTGTTGTTGTTTTTTGTGATCAAAGAAAAGCCCTTCTTTTCGGCGGCGCATGTGATTTCCGCTCACTGGAACATCTGAATCCAAAAATTCCAACGGGATTAGAAAGAGTACATGTTTGGCTTTCGTATGAACTAGGATTATTAACTTCGCTCAAAAATTAACAAAATGGCGGACCTTTGAAATTTTTTTTTGAAAATTTTCATTTTTTTCAGCCACAAATCGAGTTGAAAAGTAAAGAAGATCTTCACCGATTTGATTTATCCTAGTTCATACGAGAGCTATATATGTATAGAATAACGTATTACAATTTGGAACCGATTGGATTAATAGTTTTTGAGTAAACTCATGCGCCAGTCGTAAAAACACTGTTTCGAGAAAAACGCGTTTAAAGTTTTGAGACGGCTCTCGCCGTCGCCTGACGCTTCCACCATAAATCGGCTTTATCTTCAAGAGTTTTTGAAATTTTGACTTGAAATTTTCAGGGAACATTCTTGAATAGTTACAAGTTCGAATTAAATTAAAAAAAAAATCGATTTTTAAAACCGAGAATGGGGAGGGTCCCCTTAAGAATCCCTCGTTCACGGACTAGACAATACAATATACTAACTAAACTTTTTTGAATTTTGGATTTCGGATGAACCGTTTTCGAGAAATCATGTCCACCGCAAGACACCATCGAAAAAAGACGATTCGGGAATTCGGCTATAACATTTTTGTTATGTAATATTTTTTTATGAAAAATTTAATTAAGTACCCAGAAACATGTACTAAACAAGGTCGGTAAAACATTTTTCATAAATATTTTCTATGGTGTCAAAAAAATCGATAAAAATCCATATTTTTGCGCGGTACATCTGTATATAACCCCTTAAATAGCAGCTATAGGATATAGTTGGCCGATCCAGGCCCTTCCGACTTATATACTGCGTGCAAAGGAAAGTGGGGTGTGTGCCAATTTCCAAATCGATAACTTTAAAACTGAGAGACAAGTTTGCGTAGAAACAGACAGACGGACAGAAGGACATACTGACGGACATGCTCATATCAACTCAGGCGGTGATCCTGATCAAGATTCTATATACTATATAGGGTCGGAGATGTCTCCTTCACTGCGTTGCACACTTTTTGACAAAATTATAACACCCTCTGCAAGGGTATAGTATATATAAGATCATGAATTTTAGATAGGGCTCACACTAAAACTATCATCTAAAATTACAATTTCATGACTTTGGTGAACATTGCTAGGTGACTCAGCGTCAGGAGACCAGACGATAGAGCTTAAGTTGAAATCGCCAGCTACCATCAAAGAAGTAGGGTCCAACGTTCCAGCACAGACACTCCATATGCGCATGATAGATACTTAATGCGCTGTTTAGAGGGATGTTCGACCCAATGATGACGAACGGGCCATGGATGTCCTATATTGAAACGGTAAGCTGATCTAGAAGAGGGTCAACCACCGGAAGGCGTAGTGATGTAGCCTGAAGAGATCGACTGATAGCGATCATAACCACCTCCTCGCACACACTGGGTACTGGATGCACCTCGGTCTTTTCGAAATACTTGGTACAAGTTACGCTCGAAGAACTCAAAGTAGCTAAAGTTGTTATTGAGCCACGTTTTCAAAGGGATGAAAACACCAAAACCACAGGCAGAAGAATTCAGTAATACCATCCGGAACTTGGTCCTCATTTCCAATATATTTTGGAATATAACTTTTAAGCTTTTCTTGGAGTCCGAGGACAAATTATTACTGTCTAAACTGGGAAATGGACGGCTAGGCGGTAATGATGAAAATACACTCTTGGTACTCGAGCATGTGGAGGCATATCCAATACGCCTAGCTTGCAAGATAGCCGTCGAGGACACATAAATTCTTCCATTATAGTAGATTGGATTTCAAAAGCCAAAGCTTGAAGAGAGCGATTGGAGTGGGCAAAGTAAAATGCAGAAACAGAGATAAGAACCTATATTGAACAATAAAAAAAGTAGAAGAAGCAGAACCAAACTATTCTTGGATTTAAATTAGTGGACGGCCCCCAATACTTTGATATGATTTAAACGCATTAGTATTAGTAACGGATAGAAGAAAGTAGGCTGTGAGCATGACGTTTCACACATTTATACTGTGTGTGGCAGAGCTCGGGCAGAGAAATTTCCTAAGCCCTCGGGATAGGGCCGTGCCGACCACTGATTTAAAGTAAAAAAATTATTCATTCGCCTTCAAATATATCACATCACTCCCGATGCGATACGGTTGAAATTGAGTGAAGTTTCTTAAATTACGAAGATGTTGCCAGATGAAGTTGGATAAACAAAAACGCCGTTCTGGTTATTACGATTCAGCCAAACTTGGTGAACTAAAATAAAACAATTTAAAAACATCTTCATTTTTATCTCAATAGATTTGACATAGCTTTTTTACCTGCATATTTTGAATAAGTTTTACATATTTATGCATAAAATGTTTAATTAATTTAAAAGTAGACAAGTTGGTTTATTTAAGGAAATATTTATACCCTTGCAGAGGGTATTATAATTTTGTCCAAAAGTGTGCAACGCAGTGAAGGAGACATCTCCGACCCTATAAAGTATATATATTCTTGATCAGGATCACCTCCTGAGTTGATATGAGCATGTCCGTCTGTCCGTCTGTCCGTCTGTCTGTTTCTACGCAAACTAGTCTCTCAGTTCTAAAGCTATCGTCTTGAAACACACACCCTTCTTTCCTTTGCACGCAGTATATAAGTCGGAACGGCCGACTATATCCTATAGCTGCCATATAACTGATTGATCGGAAATGGTATAACTTTGGTGTTTTTAGAGTTAGAGAGTTCAAATTTGACACGAGAGCTATTTTTGGCAAAATAATACGACATGCCAAATTTCATAAGGATCGGCCGACTATATCCTATAGCTGCCATATAACTGAACGATCGGAAATGACCCAACTTTCGTGTTTTTGAAGATAGAAAGCTGGAATTTAGTACAGACTCTATTTTTGGTTAGTTCATCCAACCTACCAAATTTCATAAGGATCGGCCGACTATATCTTATAGCTGCCATATAACTGAACGATCGGAAATGACCCAACTTTTGTGTTTTTGAAGATAGAAAGCTGGAACTTGGTACAGATTATATTTTGATCCATCCTACCAAATTTCATAAGGATCGGCCAACTATATCCGATGTTTGCGATATATATCCGGTTTTAGCTGCAAGGGTATATAAACTTCGGCTCCGCCCGAAGTTAGCTTTCCTTTCTTGTTTTTTAACAAATTCTTAAATTTTTAATACATTAAATATATTATAGTCCTCCTTAGTTGTCACTTAATTAATATATTTTAGGAAAAACTATGCTTTACGACATATTCGATGAGCTAGAACTACAAACAATATTATCGATATTATAGTAGTGCACAACTCGTGATGATGGCTGATTTGAAAGAGTTTCAGATATTTTGCTTACAATCAACTTTGATAATTTAAGGACAGCAAGGTGTGACATGAATTGTAGAATCATTGCGCCAAATCCTTTATAGAGCCCACAAAAACCTTCTGAAAATATGGTCGATTGGTAACAATCGATGGCTCCTTGATAGTTTGTTAGTATTGGAACAACTGCATAACCATTGTCTAAATTGTCAATAATAGTTCGTGTACCTTGTAGTTGAAGACGATGTAACACGGTTTCAAAAGGATAGAAAATGACCTCGGTGGTTATTGTTGTTATAAGATTGGTATATATCTCAGCATTTTGATTTTCTAGCTCATCATCGCAAATTTTTTCAGCACGTTTTTTTCTTAAAGCTGTTAACCGCCATCTTATAATCCTAGAAGACAGCCCACGAATTACTAAACTGAATAAATACTTTATAATTCCCAATGAAACACATGGCCCTATTAACGCCCAAGCAGGCAGCATTCTGCCCTTCTGTGGTGAACTCCAATACAGAAATCGAAGACTTCCTTCTCGAAATATATCAAAAAGTCCTGGTTTTTCACTTGCTATATCACTTTGGACCGTCTCCACTAAAGATGCAGAATGAAATGGTACAACCACTCCAATGCTGAAACTGAAAAAAATTTTATCAGTAACACATATTGTTTAGGTGAGGGGCCGTGGTGCCACTCACCTGAAGAGCGCACCCGCGCTAAAGAGCGCACCCACGCTAAAGAGTGCACCCGCGCTGAAGAACGCGTCCACACTCGCGCCTCTGTGCCCTCTCTTCTCGCTCGTTGGCTGTCGGCGATCTCTTTTTTTTTTCACTAGTTTTTAAGATCAATCTCATGTAAG